CTTGCCATTTGCAACAACATGGATAGATCTAGAGGATATAATGTTACATGAAATAAGTCAGTCAGAGAAAAACAAATACCATACGATTTCACTCATATGTGGAATTTAAGAAACAAAACAAAGATAAAAAGAGACAAAAACAGACTTTTTTTAAAAAAGATTTTATTTATTTATTTGAGAGAGAGAGAGAGAGAGAATGAGAGAGAGAGAGAGAGCACATGAGGGGGGGAGGGTCAGAGGGAGAAGCATACTCCCTGCCGAGCAGGGTGCCCGATGAGGAACTCGATCCTGGAATTCCAGGATCATGACTTGAGTCGAAGGCAGTCGCTTAACCAACTGAGCCACCCAGGCGCCCCAAACATCTTTTTAAAAAATATTTTATTTATTTGTCAAAGAGAGAGAGAGGGAAAGCACAACCAGGGGGAGTGTGAGGCAGAGGGAGAAGCAGGCTTCCTGCTGAGCAAGGAGCCCCTACGTGGGACTCGATCCCAGGACTCCAGGATCATGAGCTGAGCCGAAGGGAGATGTTTAACTGACTGAGCCACCAAGATGTTCCAACCAGACTCTTAAATATAGAGAATAAACTGGTGGTCACCAGAGGGGAAGTCGGGGGGATGGGTGAAATAGGTAAAGGGGATTAAGACTATACTTAGTGTGATAAACACTGAGTAATGTATAGAATTGCTGAATCACTATATTATACTTCTGAAACTAATATAACACTGTAATTATACTGCAATTAAAAAAAAGGTGGGGGGGGGCGCCTGGGTGGTTCAGTTGTTAAGCATCTGCCTTTGGCTCAGGTCATGATCCCAGGGTCCTGGGATGGAGCCCCACATCAGGCTCCCCGCTACGCGGGAAGCCTGCCTCTCTCTCTCCCACTTTCCCTGCTTGTGTTCCCTCTCTCGCTGTGTCTCTCTCTGTCAAATAAATAAATAAAATCTTAAAAAATGAATAAATAAGTTTAAAAAAAGGGAAGAAATTAGGGTATGCTTTGGTGCTCTTGTTATTTGTCTTGATGTGAGCCAAATGTTTACACCTAAATCACCACTTGGTTTATAGTAAGACTAGGACCAATGGCTAATTTTTTAAAGTTTATTTGATCCAAGGAAATTAAAGCTTTTATTGTGAGTAGAGATGTATCCACTAAGTGGCCACTAGCTGACTACGGAGACAAATAATGGGCCTTTTCTCCCATCTCTTTAGTGACCTGTTGTAATCTTCAGTATCCAGATTTAATCAGTGATGTGGCCATTCCAAGAAGGCAACAAGTTTGAATTGCCTGAAAGGACATACTGATCTGTCACACAGTAGGGCAGCAGGAGAAGGTTTTGCTCATAGCTAAGGGACAGAGAATTGTGCATATCAGGAAGCCTAACTTATCTGCACGGCACCTGATAATTAACAACCCTTACTCATGGGAAGGTGCAGACCCAGGGAGATAATGACAGAAAATCCTTTTATTTATTTATTTACTTATTTATTTAAATATCTTTATTTATTTATTTGTCAGAGAGAGAGAGAGCACAAGCAGGGGGAGCAGCAGAGGGAGAGGGAGAAGCAGACTCCTCACCCAGCAAGGAGCCCGATTCGGGACTCGATCCCAGGACGCCGGGATCATGACCTGAGCCGAAGGCAGACGCCCAATGCCTGAGCCACCCAGGCGTCCCAGGAAATTCCTTTTAAAAAGCCAATTTGACCTTGGCCAAAATTTGCAGTGTGCTCAATCTCAGATGATTCAGAGCTCGTTTTAATGGGCCTGAAAATCTGAAAATAAATTATTTTGAAGTGATGATATAAATTATGTATGAGGATCAATTGAATATTCAAGTATAATGAGTTTATAGAATACAAGAGAGTATTTCTTTTGAGATGCTGCAATACAGCTATTGTCAGGTTCAGAGCCCAGCTGATTGCTTATAGGGAGCCTTTGTGCACATTTGAAAAAGGCACCCCCTCTGGGTGATGCAGCCCTGTGGGTACATGATTTGGCAAGCAGAGCCTGGGCTGGATCTTAGCTCCTTTTTGTCCCATTGGTTGGGTGCCTTAAAGCCTTGCCGTGCTTGTGTTGGTTTTTAGAGACTACATTGGAAATACATAAAAGTGACGGTTCCTTCTCTTAACCCAATGCAGAACTTATCAGCAGGAGACAAAGAGTCAATTAAGCTCTAAAATGGCATGAAAGAAGATGAAGCCTCCATGATAGAGAACAGAGATCTGATCTTGGCAGGTATGTTCTCTGAAGAAGCACAGCCAGTAGACCTCACTTCCCAAGCCAGAGGCACATAACCGAACACCTGGGAAATTTAGATTTCTGGCGCCAGAATGGTCTTACTTGCCCCCCTGCTGCATTGACACTGGAGGGGCAAAGCTATGCTGTGTAGGTGTGGAGCTGAAACCCTTTCCATCCACTTACATGGACTGAAACTTAGGGGTGGTGAGTGTTAGCAATAAAAAGCATGTAGGCTTGAGTGTCCATTTTTCTTTGTGGAACCACTGTAGTGACAGCAGAACCACAGGAATTGAGTTTCCAGTTCTGGGACAAAATGGAGTAGACACACATCTCCCTACTCCTCTGGCTAAGTACACCTAAAGACCCTGGATACTGACTATAAAGAAGGTTCTAAAAGGTAGAGAGGAGGCAGGCCTGCTAGGGATCTCAGGACCCAAGAAGCATGGTGACAAGGGTTTTCTTTTTTTTTTTTTAAAGATTTTATTTATTTATTTGAGAGAGAGA